AGGAGGGCTGACGTTTCGGGCCTAGGCCCTTCATCTAGGCCCGAAACGTCAGCCTTCCTGCTCCTCTGATGCTGCTTGGCCTGCTGTGTTCATCCAGCTCTACACCTTGTTATCTCAGATTCTCCAGCATCTGCAGTTCCTACTATCTCTGAAACAAATGTAAGACCCACTTTGTTTGCCTCCACTGGTAGTTTTAGAAGCTGAGAGTAGTGGATAGAAAACATGCAATACTGAAGCAGTATCTACCCTACTTCGGTTGCTTCCAAAGCTAATTGGTAACTACCTCCGTGAATAAACTTTGCACCTTATTAATTTTATCAACAACTCTCAGTAACTGTGATACAGCAATAAAATGACATGCTAATAATGAGTCATCTTAAGATGGCAGTGATTTCTTTTTATATTTTCTAATCGGCGTGTTAAGGGATGTCATTATGCACCTCTGGAGCAAGTGGGACTTGAACCTGGGCCTCCTGGCTCAGAGGTAAGTACACTATCACTGTACCACACGAACCCTTATGATGGTGGCCACGATATTTTCTAAACAACCTGTTCAGAGATGTAATGACACACCTCTGGAACAGCTGGCACCTCTGGAACAACTGGCACTTGAGCCCAGGCCTCCTGGTTCAGAGGTAGGGTGACTACCTCTGCGCCACAAGAACCCTCAAGATGGTAATGACAATTGAAACACAGTTTAGTAGTGCTCAGGTGGACCTCATAATGAAAAAGGACCAGGTTAAAAAAAAAGTAAATTGGGAGAGGAGTTCATCAGGGCTGCCCCCTGCCCAGCCAGCTGTATCCCCTGTGTGTGGAGCCTTTCCTGTGCCTCTTGTGGAGGAGGTTGTTGGGGCTTGTTCTGCGAGGGCTGGGCACATACTTTCGGTTTATACTGACGACGTGCTCCTCACTTTTACCGATCGGCCTGACCCGGGGAGGATGCACGAATGCCAGGCAGTGTACTTGGTGACATCTTCCGCCAGGTTCAACTGTGCTAAATGTTCCAGACTCCTGGTCAGCCCATGGCAAGTGGTCTTTCTGCCAGACGAGTTACAGGGGTTCAGCTGGAGTACCCTCCATTCCCTTTATCTGGGGGTCTACCTTCGCCAGGCTGAGGAACCCTGGCCGGGGACGAATTGGCAGCAGTTGGAGGCCAAAGTCTCGGCTCGCCCAGGCCGCTGGACGGGGCCGCTCACAGTGCTGTCAAACAGGAGTCGAGTGCTGGTCCTAAACCAGCTGGTGGCCTCCATGTTGTGGTACCGGCTGGTCCTTTTGTTCCCTCCTCCTGGTTTTGTCACTGACATCCAGAGAATGTTGGTTTATTTCTTCTGGGACAAAAAGACGCACTGGGTCACGGCACAGATTCTGAATCTCCCAATTGAGGAGGGCAGTCAGTCACTGGTGTGCGGCTGCACCCAGATGGTGAATTTTCACCTTCAGGCCTTGCAGCGATACCTTTACATGGAGCATCCTCCTGGGTGGTGCACCCCGGAGACGTATTTGTCCACCAGGTGCGTAACCTCAGCTACAACACGCTACTCCTGCTTATCGACCACGAGGGCTTGGAGAACACCCTCAGGACGCTGCCTGTCTTTTACCAGATCCTGATCACTATCTGGAACATGGTTGACTTGCATCGCGCCTACTCTCCGGCAGGAGTGGCGGCCATCGTCTGAGAGCCGCTGCTCAGGAATCCGCGCCTCCGTAGTCGCTGGTTGGACTGGCTGTCGGAGGTGGGGGACGTGCTGGGTGGTGGGGGCCTGGGCTGGGTGCTGCTGCAGGAATTGGCACGCAGGGCTGTAGCAGATGTCCGGTTCACAGCCACCGTCATTCAACACCTTAAAACGGCAGTGCTCCGACCCAACGTTGTGCCCCCATTGGAGGAGGCTCGGGTGTGCACTGGGATCCCGTCTGCACGTACCCCTGCTCAGACAGAATTTCACATTGGCCCCAGAATCCCATACCTCCCCTGGGAGCCTGTGCCCCACATCCTGAACCGTCTCTGGAATTTTACTTTGTGTGTCTTTTAAAGATGTAAAATAGTGGGTCCTGTACAGACTGCTGTTGCACACCATCCACCTCTTCTCCTCCATCCACCGCCCAGACACACCTTGGTGTGCCCATTTGCCACTGGGCGGAGGGGATCCCCAGTGGAGGGCTGTCTATGCGGGAGTGCTCCCTCTATCCCTCGGGGATCTGGGGTGGAGGGTGTTGCACACAGCAGTCCCATGTAACTGTGCATTGCAGTGGTTCACGGACTCCCAGCCCTACTGTCTATTTTGCAGCACTGCAGGGTCCATGGGCCATGTATATATTGGGTGTGGGTGTTTACACTCACTTTTCAGTTATCTTAAAGACCTCCTTTTGTGTTTCTGGCTGCACTTCAGCCCCACACTCCTGATCTTTGGGCACCCGGTGCGGAGTGCTGTGGGTTGGTCAGAGGATTTCCTCGTGGCTCTGCTCCTGGGCCTGGCCAAGCTGGCCATTAACGGGACCAGGCAGTGGGCCGTGGAGGGGTATTTTGGTTTGATCCCTCCCCTCTCCCCCTCCCCCTCTCCCCCTCCCCTCCCCCTCCCTTTTGTTTCCACATAGGCATTGCCCCTGGGGGCTCTGCTTGATGCTGGTGCTTTTGTCATGTGGGTGCTTTTCCTGGTGATGGTATGTTAATAAAGTTATTTTCACACCTGTTTTTTTTCCGTGTCTCACGCCTGCACACACAAAACAAGGGTGCTTAAAAAAAAGTAAATAAGTTGTTTTGTAAAACCGACAAAATTCCCCACACAGCGAGATGTTCAAAGTCATTGCTGTTGATTGGTTTTGGATCCAATCAAATTTATTAGAAATGAGCCTTCATTGTTTATGTACTTTTTTGTGGATTGTCCAAAGTAGTAAACAATTTTAATACAGTATCCGTTTTTCAGATTACTATTTAAGGTAAGTTTGTTCAGGTTGTTAAAATGTTTTTCTCAAAATTGTTGTTTTGAGCAAATTAATTTGGATAATAGCAGTCACAACTTTGACTTTTAACTTTTGTTTTCAGTTTGCAAGGCATATAAAGAAGTCTGAGGGTCAGAAGACTCCCAAGGTTGAATTACAAATCTCCATCTATGGTGTAAAAATCTTAGACTCCAAAACAAAAGTAAGTCATTCTTTGATTTTGGATAATTATTAATGATCAAGCACTTAGACAAATATGTTTCACAACACGCATTAAGTTTTAATTAAAAGCTGAACAGCTCACTTTTGTAAACATTAAAACTAAAATAAACTCACATTTATTGTATATATACAGCAATGCAGGGTGTAGTTATGTTTGATGTAGTGAGCAAATTTTGATTTGATATATGCCATAAGGAAGGGCTGTTAATAAGACCTGCAGTGAGTGAACGGTCCTGTTCAGGGGCGGTGTAGGTCAGAGGCCACAGCAGGTGTAGGGGTGATGGGAAGGTTGGAAGCCTGGAGATAATTGGAAGCTGTTGGCATGAAAGAGATAGTGATGAGTCCAGATCGGAGGATGTTTGTAGTCGGGATTCAGTTGGAATTCTGATGTTCAAGACTTTAAGTCCCTTCATCCCAGTCACCACCTGACCCAAACTCACCTACTTTCTGATCTGCTTCTGTAACCAGTTCAGTTTCTGCTCACCAGTAACTCCTTGGATGTTGACATGAGGAATTCAGTGATGGTAATGCCACTGAATGTCAAAGAGTAATGGTTAAATTTTCTTCTGTTAGAGATGGCTATCGCCTGACACTTGTGAAACAGGAATGTTCTGTGTCTCTTGTCTGCCCAGACCTGGATAATTTCTGCATTTGGACATGGACTGTTTCACTATCTGAGGAGTTGTGAATGGTACAGAAGATTGTGAATTCATCAGTGAAGATCCCAACTTCTTAGCATAAGATAGATTGAAGGTCATGGATGAAGATCGTTGAGCTTGGGGAACTCCTGCAGACACATCTAGGAGCAGAGATGACTAACCTCCAATAACCACAGCCATATGCCTTTGTACCAGTTATGATTCCAACCAAAGGAGAATTATCCCCTTGATTCTCATTGACTCCGGTTTTGATAGAGCTCCTTGATGTAACACTTGGTCAAATGTTAAGGGCACCGACTCTCACCTCACCTCTGGAATTCAGCTCTTTAATCCATGTTTGAACCAAGGCTGTAATGAGATCAGGAGCTGAGTGGTCCTGACAAGCCCAGACTGGGTGTCACTGAGCAGGTTATTGCCGAGCAGCTGCTGCTTGATAGCACTGTTGATGACACCTTCCATCACTTTACTGATGATTGTGAGTAGACTGATGTGGTGGTAATCTCAGAACTCTGCACCATTTCATCATTTAAATAATACATTTAGATAATTCATTTATTTTTCTTCCTGCCAAAGTGGGCAATCTCACATTCTCCCTCATTATATTTCCTTGCCAGATTCTTGAGTCATTTTACCTCTCTGTAACTCTTTGTAGTCTCCTTGCATCCTCTTTGCAACTAGTTTCCTGCCTGTCTTTTACTTGTTAACAAATTTATCAACCAGACCTTCAGCCCCATCATTGAAACCATTTATGTAAATTGTCAGAAGTTTGGGCTCCAGCACTGATCAGTGTGGCATACCACTCATTGCATTTTGTCAAGTAGAAAGTGACCTATTTATGCCTATTTATGCCTATTCTCTGCTTCTAGTTAGCCAGTTGTTGTTCTATGCATTTCAACATGTTAACCCCTACTCTGTGAGCATTTATTTTCTTCAATAACCTTTGATGTAGCACCTTATCAAATGCCAGCTGGAAATCTAAGTACAGTGCATCCACTAGTTCCCCTTTATGCACAGTATGTGTTACTTCTTCAAATAAGTGCAATTAGTTAACGTGATTGCCTTTCACAAAATCATGTTGATTTTAGTATGATTTTACTAATGAAAAGGTTGAAAGCTACTGTTGGACTTCTCCCTCTATCATCTCTGCCCCAGTTATTTTTCATTTGAAGTGAAGTTTGAAATCCTGTTGAAATCTCCACCCCTCATCTTGCTAAATGCATGACAGGATTGATAATCCATCCACATTGTCTTGGAGTCTCAAGACTTGAAAGATTAATCTCCCAAAGATGGCTGTATACATCCCAGGTGACAATAGGGATCACACATTACACCTGTGAGTAAATGCATGAAGTAGATACAGTTGGCTCCTGTGAGTCTGCCTCTCCCTCGCTCTTCGTGTTTTATGTATGAACACTACAACAGCAAGCAGTTCTTAGCCCCCATCCCCCATGCTTCCTTAACATTGTCGATGCCAATTACAGCAGTTCACATTCCTGAAGAAACTGAACAATTTTAAGCTATTAAACACAGAATCATGCCATTTGAACATGGTAAATTTCCTACACATTAATAGTGAACAGTTTGCCGAAAACAACTTTTTCTAACAATATAGCTCTCACGGTGAGGTTGATGGCAGCTTGTATTTTCTGCGAAGCACAGTGGTTGGAGTCTACTTATTTTCTTTCATTGCTTGTTCTACTCAGCTTTTAAGAACTGTTACGTATAGAAACAATGTGTGTAACAATCAGTTCATTTTGCAATCAAAAATGTAATTTTTCTGAAAATCTGTCATAATTTTTCTACAAAATATCCTACTTAGTCTCCAGGTAATAAATACCTGACAATTGTTTTTTTTTTCTGTTGAGCAATAGATGTGTAACAGCACTGAGTCAGATGTGCTTTTTCAAACTTAGGCAATATATTGTAATGTTGGGTTACAAGTGGTGGACACTGTTAAAAGATTCACTGCTGTTTTTCTTGCTTGATGCATTTTCAAATCTTTTACCTTAATAAGAAGTTATATTCAAGAGTGACAAAGAGCACAGCTTGATGAAATCCTAACATTTCTACATTAAATGTGTTTGGGTTTTATCCCAGGTTTCCTTTTGTGATTTAAAACTATCAAGAAAAATACTGCAATTGCTGTAAGTCTCAAACATAAACACAAATGCAAGAAACACTCCCTTCAGCGATACATCATGAGACACAAAATAGAATGATAGATCACAGAAGGAGCCTGTTAGGCTTATGTTGCCATTGATGGCTCTCTGGCCAAACAATACAATTATTCCCACTGCTCTTGCCCCATAACCCAACCAATTTTCCCTCAAGAATTTATGAAAGGCCTTCTTTTTCCAATATTATTATTGAATTTGCTTCTGCCATTTTTTCAAGCAGTGCAGTTTAGATCACAACAATTACCTGTGTTTAGAATAATATCCTTATATCACCTCTGGGTCTTTGATTTGTCGGCATAAATCCATATCCATTTGTTACAGACCTTCACGTTTGTGATAGCTCTGTAGTAAAGCAATCCAGTTATTTCCACCATTTCTGAAAATGGTCCGGGGTTTTGATTTCCTCTGTCGGGAACAATCTTTAGATGTTTCCTTTTCTTTGCGTGTGTTCACTATGGACATATTTAGATTTCTTTGTTTAATGTGATTTGTAATTCCAGCAATACAAGACATACTCTCACTTAATTTTCCTGCGGACAGTTGGGTGTTACAGGGGCAACAATAGCCTCCAAAAGAAGTTACAGCGGGTCAGACAGAATCAGTGGAGAGAGAGCAAGCTAACGTTTCGAGTCTAGGTGACTCTTCATTAGAGCTCAAACGTTAGCTTGCTCTCTCTCCATGGATGCTGTCTGACCCACTGCGATCTCCAGCATTTATTGTTTTCAGGACAGATTCCAGCTTCTGCAGTACTTTGTTCCTCCAAAAGAGGTGGATGGTTCCACCATCTCATCGACATTAGTCATACAGCTGTGCAAAATATTCACCTGTTTCACACGATAGGTACCTTTTAACGTGGAAATTGTGACTATAAAGTAATTGGGCCTTTAGTTGCCATTTCAGGGTAGAATCCGCATGGATGCATTTTGACCAGTTCCACAGTGGACCTGAATAAGCCTGCCAAACAGAAATAGCAAGCTGTTTTTAATTCATTCATGGGATATAGGCAGCACTAACTACACAATCATTTATTGAATATCCTTAATTGGTTTGGAGAATGTGGTGGAGAACTGCTGCAGCCCTTGGGGCTATTGAATAAAACACTATTTACCTCATGCTGCCAGTCGCACAAGGGCAAACTCCAAATTGACGACTTTCTACATTGGTATGGTGACCTCTACCAGTTAGCAAGGAAGTCAGGAATCAACAGGAGCAACCAGGAACTCTTTGCTTGCACATTCGAAATACACAGTTTAAATTTCTAAGAGAATGGTCAAAGCATGAGGGGACAGTATCACAGGGAATTTTTGCAGCCTTAGGCTGATGAACAGTAAATGAGGGATGAAGTTAGGTAGAAGAATGGCGAATTATAAATGCTGCAATCTTATTGAATAAACGGGTGAGATATTAACCCAGCAATGGTACTGCAATCAGCCTAACAGTGCGAATAATTTGAGATACATTAATCTGGGAAAATATTGATTGGTGCTTGGAACAATATAGAAAGCCAGCAGGGACATTTTTTAAAGATAGTTTATGTTTGATGAACTTCATTTGATGAGTTTGATGATATAATGGAGATAGTTGAGAGTTTTACGGAGGCATGGACTTTGAAAAGGCATTTGCTAATGTACCATTTAATGGACTTCAAGCAAAGTTGAAACCCATGAGATTAAAGATGCACAACCTGCCAGGATTCAAAATTGATTAAATGATAGAAAGCAGAGAGTATTGGTGAATATGAGATAACAAGGTGTAGAGCTGGATGAACACAGCAGGCCAAGCAGCATCAGATTTCTCAATCTGGAAGTTAATATGTTGTGGTAATCCCCCCCCCCCCCCCCCCCCCCCAACCCCTCCCAGGCTCAGTGCTCTTTTTAATGCATATTAAAAGAAAATAAAAATAATTTCAATGTTTGAGATAACACAGAATGGGAAATGCTGTTAACACTGAAGATGATGGTAACTGACTTCAGGAGGACCTAATCTGGTGGAAAGGGCAGATGCATCACACAAAAATAAAATTAATGTAGCAAATTGTGAATTAATTTACTTTGGTAGGAAGAGAGATAAGATGGATACACATTAAATTTTTTTTACCAATGGGCACACCTCAGAAGTCTTTGATTTCCCCCTTCATACCCTAATAGTTAGGTTCAAGATGCACGGCGAGAGAAAATGTAAGGACCTTGATCTAACCCTGTTAAATCAGTGTCTGCTGGAATACAAAGGACAGGAAAAAAACCCACTGAAAAAGCTGTAGAGATGAATTAATCATTTATCTTAAGATATAATCCTGAACGAGATATAGACACTGCACTTGATATGATTAGTCATTCCTGGAACTGATTGCTCTTAGCTTGCAGAACAGTTTCTACTACTTTATACTGAATCCATCCAAAACACAACAGCACAAAGGATTGAGGAATTTTAAGTACAAGTTACATCCAGCATAAATTAAGTTTCTGTGATTTTTGTTTCTCCGATGCTGATTTTTTTAAAAAATGCCTTGCATTGGAAACCGGCACAGTCCACAAAACTGGCTTGGTTTATTGTTTTTTTTTTGAAACGTTGCTTATTTTCAGGTGCTTCTGAAAAAACAGCTCTAGGCGAGTCTGCAAATTTGCTCACTGACAAAAATTAATCTGCACTAACTTTTGCATGAAATGACTGCCTCCATTTTTTTTGAGCTTCTTACTGTCAAAAATACTAATCATGTTCAACAATCTTTATATAGACAGATAAAGAGCGTGGAACATTTTAAAGGAACTGGGAAGGGGAAAATCTTGTAAGAAGTCACTTCGTCACCTTTTGACAAGTACGGTCACTAGCCTGTGTTTCTGATCCCCAACTCCAGCTCCTCAAAAAAAAACTTGTTAAATTTGTGGAAGTTGTGAAATAAGTAGCTGTTGGCTCTCATTGTTTCATGCCATTGTGTGTAATTCTTTGTTTTTATTTATTTATCTTTTACCATTTTCTCTGTTGGTTACCATTAAATGGAGTTAAGGCACTAGTGCTTGGGACTAACTTGTTGCAGCATCAATTGATTGGAAGAAATGATAGGTTAGTGTGTAATTGCAAAGGATTTACATGTGATATACAAAGGAAAATGCCTCATGTCTGTTTTTTAATCTGATGTGTTTAATTATTCTTTAGATTTGCCTTCTTAATTCTCAAGTGAATTTGGAGAGGTAGTGGCATAGGTGTAATGTCATTGCACTGCTAATCCTTAGGCCCAGGCTAATGATTTGGGGGACAAGGGTTCAAATTCCTCATTCCTGCAGGTGGTGCAATTGGAATTTGATAAAAATCTGGAATAAAAGATCGTTTAATGGTGCTCGTGTAACCACTGTCATAAAAACCTATCTGGTTCACTGTATAGCTTTCATGTGACTCCAGACCTCAGTAATGTAATTGACTCTTAACTGCCCTCAGGGCAATTCGAGATTAGCAACAAATGCTGACCTAGCCAACAATGCCCATATCACATGAATGAATAAAAACAATAGAAACATGGTAAATCTGTGTGATATAAAAGAATGATATTTCACAGTTATTAAATGATGTCCTCATCCACTAAAGGATAGTCAACACAGGTATGCTAATACAGATGCCATTGCTTTAAAAATATACTTACCTCTGTGTTTCACTGCGCATATTGGTCCAATATACTTGACTTCTTTCAAGGCTTGCGTTAATGATGTCACACACAGACTAAGTGAACCTTACGTTGTGTAACTCATTGTAATCTGGCACTTCACTGGGTGCTATCTATTAATATCCACTAACTAGTGTTTGGAAACTGTGAAAACAGTCAGTTACTCTTGAAGATTCTCCAATCTATTTGAAATCTTTCCTCGCATTTCTACCCACTGCATTGGGCTGTTTACCATCTTATCTAATGTTTACAGTTGTGGTGATCTCTTTGGTAATAAAGTGGGAAGGCATCTCAAGATTTTAAAGAAGCATCTCAATCTGGGTATGGGATTTTGGTAGGCAGACACTGAATGAAGGGAGGTTATTTTTCTAGTCGAACAGAAGAGTAATCTCAGAAAAGGAGACTGGGCTTTCTTCAAGAACATCAAAGGAAAGTAAGAACTTGTTGCAGGCACATAAGGAAGAAAATTACCCGAAATGTTTTGCAGATTCCAGATCGTACTCAAAATTGCACAAATGTTGAGGCCAAATTAGTTGTTTGCAATTCCAATAAATCAGGAAGATGAATATACTACAGGAACACTACTGTGCGACAACAAACATATTTTGCTCACTAGTATTGTTGTAGGTTTCCCATGTTACTATTTCTGCATTCGTAATTGAGAGGTGGAGAATCTGTGTGACAGAGATAGTTGAAGAATTATGGAGCAAGATGGTGCATTCTGGGTTTATTAGGTTTCATGCAGATCAAAATGAGATACATTAATTAGAGTCAACGAGGCATGTTAATTTGAACAGATGAGACTGGTTTCAAAATGTTCCCATTTGGAATCTATAAGGAGCAGTCAGTTCCTAAATACTAACCTGAATTCATCTTTTGTTACCTGATTTATTTTTCATTATGTATAATTCTGCAATAAAGGAAACAACTTCTGTTTACATTGCAGGAAATTCTGCATAATTGCCAATTGCACCGAATATCTTTTTGTGCTGATGACAAAACTGACAAGAAGATATTTACTTTTATTTGCAAGGATGCTGAGTCGAATAAACACATGTGTTATGTGTTCGATAGTGAAAAGTGTGTAAGTATATAATACAAAGAACTGTTACGTCATTGACTAAACAGCTTAAAAAGTTCCTACAGTTGAATGAGTGCAACACAATTTATAATTTACAACTGTAATTGTTAATGTGAATAAGTTTGTACATTTCTGCAAAATATACAGGAAAATCCAACATCTTGCAGATTCTAAATGGGCATCCAAATGTGACTTGCTGGGTTCAGTCTTTTAGTTGCAGCTGCTTAAACTTCATTGACTTCAGGAATATGAGAAAAGATGGGACTGTTGAGACTCAACTGCAGAAGCAGAAAGAGGAAACATGGTAGACCTGTGCAGCTTCAACGAAGTCGGAAAGGACACGTGACTCAAGAGGGCCCTTCAGCCTGCAGCTTTTCAAAAATGGAACATTTGACATGAATATGATTGAGAAAAAGTGAGTGAGACACGCAGTCACTGACCGATGTCACTTTTTTTACCGCAAGACTTGGATTCAACAGCACAGCACACATTGTCCTGCCTGTGACTAGTGAGGTTATGGTGATGCTAAACTTAAGCAATAAGAGTCTTATTGCTGTCACCCATTGCAATCTGCAGAAAAATCATTCCCTTGCTGTCCATACAACTGCCAAGCATCTTACAGATGTCTTTCTGCAAGGAGGTGGCAATGGTTTACTTTCAAGTGCAGGTTTTTGACTAGGAGGAGAAAATGGCTAGATTTTTCCCGTGTATAATGTGCAATTAGTTGACTTCATAGGCATTGCTTTATATTTTTCTCCTTCAAATACTGGGTATGCTTTCTAACGGGAAGAAGTGTAATTCTCTGAATGTTTGAACAGGAATGTTTGAATGTAATTTGGCAGAGGTTTTATTTCTTCTTACTGCTACTGCCTTTGAAACTCTTAATGTGTTATAACTGGATTAGTCTCCAAGAGGGGCTGCTGTTTACATTGGACAAAGATAATTTGACCAAGCTATTCTGACTAGCCACTAAATGTGCAATGACCTGACTATTAGTGCTGTGAATTTACCTGTTTAAAACCTAATGCGTCAAAAATATTCACTTCACTTTTTTTAACCTTTTGGATGTATGGGTGTAGTTTAATACCTGTGGATTTGGTGGCAGGCAAGCATTTATTGAGATTGGTGGGTTAAGAGCTGACCAGCTTCCTGCTTTTATCAGAATTTAGCCTTTAATGGGAAGGCTTGTGGACAGTCTGGCTGTACTACTACCAACTGAGAACCTTTGAGGGCAATTAAAACCCACTAAATGTCCTCATGGTGTCACCTCTCGTGATCATCCAACATTGGTTGGTGTCTAACTGTGCATGGGGTCCAAAAAGCCGGCTCCCTAGGAGTCATCTACACTTAAAGTTTCCTGACCAAGTGAGCCCGTAATGGAAAGGGCAGACCCGAGGAGAGCCATCCTCCTGCCTTCCTACAAACAGCCTTACACCCCACCCGTTTCACTCTCATCTGTGCCTGGGGCAGACAACAGCCATGGATCTCAAATAGCTGTGGTACTGGCTACAGCCACTGCCTCCCAGTGGCACAGCTAAACATGAAAGAGCTGCCAGCCTCTAAATGCTGAGAAGGTGTTGAAGACAGTACTCCAACCTCCAGGCTCCTTTATCCAGGGATAGGCTGGCCACCTCCTAGCTAAGTGGCTCATTGGCATTTAATTCAAAAGGCCTTGCCAAGAAAAGATGACATGATGCTTTGCATTAAAAGAAGTACCACCCTCTATTTCAGAATTTAAATTGTTTGGTTATCTTAAATTGCTAGCAAAATTCAGTGACTAACAATAAATACCATGGCTGGATACTAATATTTTAGCCAATGGATAAATCAACATAACAATCTAGTGGCTAGTTTGATAGCTGTGAAATTGAGGTGATGTTATATTCAAAGATAGCCAGAAAGAAGGCTCTGTTTAGCTTCCTAAGATAACTTCCATGCAGAGCAGTATTGTGCATGCCTGGAGATGGTGGTAGCAAATAACCTGAGGATAAGTCTTATAGTTCCTCTCAGTAGCAGTTTAAAGTGCCTACTGTCAGAACCCCTACACACATTTAAAAGTGATTACACCAGGGCCGAGCTGAAAGCATTGAAAATGAGATTTGCAATAGTGATAATTTGTTCACCATTTCACAATTCACTACTCGTGTAAAGGGGCCCGAGATTATGAATTTTCAATACTTGAAGCATCAGAAGTCGTAACCAAGTTTGGAGTTAGGCTATGTCTTGTATAAAATTGTAAGTAAACATGGGCTGGTTGGATCAAGCAATTCCATTGCAGCAGATACTTGGTGACAGAAAATTGCAACTTCTAAATATGACTCATAAGACTAACACCAAGTTCATAGTGACCCAAGTTGACTTCAGTGATTACACCACAAATTGGGACCAGCTGTCAAAGTACGACGGTATTCCAAATGCTGCACAGAGATAGCAAAGGACATTGCAAAGAAATAAAAACTTATGAACTTGAAAATAAAAAAATGAAATATTGCCTAATAAATAAATGACAGAATGGTTAAACTAACAATAAGCTCTGCTCTTGTCATTAGGAATGGGGAAAAATATCCAGAATGATCTTCAATTATACACATATGGTCAACATCACCTGCAGACTAATATGAGATTGAAAAGAACATTATACTGATAGCACTCTCCCTTCCCCACACAGGAATTAAAACCTATTGGGAAGGATGAGTGAATTCAAAAAGTATTTACTTCTAACTAAAACCAGATGGAAGGCTACATTTTATGCATTTTTATTGTTTTGTGGGTTTGGACAATATATGACATTTCTAAAATAATACCAAAAATAAATCCTTAAGTTTCAGTTGGAGGAACAAAAGTAAACTTTATAAATGGCTTTTAAAAGAAGACATAAAACTGGATCAAGTTACAGCATGAATGGGACAAGGTTTTTTTTTAAATATAAAAAAGGTCCTAATTATGTTATTACAAATATGCATTTGCTTAACTTGACCACTTTTGATGTATACTTAAAGTTTATGGGATACATTAGAATGATATTTGACTGCAACTCAAAATGTATTATTCTTACCTTGCTTTCTTATTGGTATTTTGCATAAACGCTATTCACAAAAACAATGAAGCCACAACAGCTCGATTATTCACCTGAAAGCAACAGAGATAGCATGAGGGTGTCATAATTGCACACATTTGTATAGGTCCAATAGAATCTTTGTGGACATTTGCAGAACCAATACAACTGTGATTTTTAAATTATTAACATAAATATATAACTGATGTAATGTTAAATAGTGGTTCTTAGTGGATGGTTCTTCAACCTAAAAATACTGGACTGAATGCATCTACTACCTGAGTGGGAGAAAACCAGCTGGAAATCGCTCTGTTCAGTATAAAATTGGATGAATGAACATCTTACTGCCAGTGCCAAAGTCATATTTCCCATTTGCCACATACGTGTTTGTATATGTTACTAATGTTACTTGTTATGACAGTGGTGAAAATGGACTATCAATACTCAGCTTCCATAATTTGACTCGAATACTCGAAACTTTCATGGAGTGAAAATGGTTTTAGTGACCAGACATTGCTGCTGTGGTCACCTGACAATCCAAGACAACTCACCATGGAAGATATGAAACCCACTGCATCAGGATTATCATTTTAATCAAGAGGCACTGGAAATTCTCTTCTTGTTTTACTTTCATATATATGGTAATTGAGAGATGAAAGATTACCTCCTGCCATCCAGCTCGAAATGAAGCAATGACAAGAGCTACCAGAATCGACAGAAGAGTGGCATATCAACAGCAGCCTTTGAGCAAAAGGAGGGAAAAGGCAAACTGGACTGATAACAGCAAGGATTTTGAAAGCTCTACTCTCCCTTCCTCTCTGTCTGAAAGGTCAGGAATTAGCCAGTAAAAAGCAACTTGAAACAACTACTGCCACTCACTGAGAACTCCTGAATATCTGTAGCTTTGTCAGTATGGAAGAAACAAGGCAGCAGCTTCACAGATGGACTTTGGTCTTTTCAATCTCACAACCCAAAGGACTCTTAAGATCTGTAACTTTACTACCTTTATAACCCCAGTATGTACTAGGCACCCTTCTGCATGGTACTGTTACTTTAAAACTTTATTACCTGTGTTTGTGTGTCTGTTTTAGATGTGTTTTAATATATTTCTCAGTTTTAATCGGCAATAAAACGCCACTCTTTTTCACTCAAGAATATCTTGGAGTTCTCTCTCCTTCATTTTTGATCTGGTTAACTATGTTTAATTGGACTGTGATAGCTACATGTTTTAAAAAAAGCAAAATAATAATATTTGTTGTAACCAATAAGAGGGGATTAATGAAAGGGAAGCTGATCACCTCTCCTTACCCGGCTTTAACACATTGTTTCATCTGACAAATCCATTTATGTCATTTGCCTGTAGATATTGCTTTGAGGGTCCTACAAGGTAGCTGTGACCATTTTAGGGCCCAGCTCGCACGTACCTGCTGTTTCTCTTCTGCCAAAAAGCTTAATGAGAGGGATACAATACAGTGACACGTGTTCAATTGGCACACAGCCTCTGAGCGGTACTAACTTGGGGTGAGAGAAATGTGAAAAATGTTAAAAACAATATTTAATTACAGATATGATCAGAAAATGAAAGGCTGCCTTAAAACAAAAACAGATACTTTGAGCCAAATATTGTGTTACAGTCCCATTCTATTCCCAATTATGTGGGTGTAGGAAGTGTGACAAAAATGTTCCTTGCTTTTGCACAAGTTCAATTTCTGAGATTTCAGACTCTGATATATATGTATACTCAATGCACATTAATGCATGATTCTTTAAATCAAATAGGATATTTGTTCACTTGTAAAATTTCCAATTCAGATAAATATGCCTGTGCAGCAAATTTGTCTAAAAAAAATTAATAACATTTATATAACAGTCCTCATGGTCGAATCATTTCACAGCCAAAGATATAGTTTTGAACTGTCATCAATGTAGCAATATCAATATCAAAATTTCAAACACCGGTTGAGATTTTTTAAAAATGTGTTTCAGGCTGAAGAAATAACATTAACTATTGGCCAAGCTTTTGACTTAGCCTACAAGAAGTTTCTGGAAACAGGAGGAAAAGACGTTGAAACAAGAAAACAGATTGCAAGTTTACAGAAACGAGTGAGTTTTAAATAGTTATGCTATCAAATGTAATGCATTGAAAAAATGTCACACTAAATGTATAAACGTATAAATGTAGAACATTGTAAACTGCAAATTTCTTCCAATACCTTTCCTCTCAAAGCCTGTAGATCGTTTATCAAATTACTACAAAATTGCAACGTTTGTGGCTACATATGTGAGGAATATTATGGGGCTATCTATGCCAATTTTGTACTTTAACAAAGATCAATTATTTGAAAAACTGCATTGGAAGAGAAATTTATTGCTGCTTTTGGCACTGTCCAGTGTGAACTCGATTCTCCAGGCAGTGCTTCACATTGTGTCCACTGCACGTGACAGACCCCAGAGAAATTGTGCAATCCTGACATTTCACAGCTCAAACAACTGTTATAATACCAAGTTCCACAATTGGCTAACACAAGTCATAATTGTCCATAAGTAAAAGAAAAAGAATAGAGGAACCTACAAGCTGCTTTAGTCAAAGCTCCAGATGCACAGTCAAGAAAACATTATGAAATATTTTTCTACTGGAAAGTGCTTGGAAATCTATTTATCAGCGTGAGTTTTTGGTGGTGTTTTGATACAATTGCCACAAGAGTGTTGCCATAACCTCATGAGGTGGTAAAGGTGCACTGTCAATAATGGAGGCAGCAGTAACATTGCTTCTGGGTCTACAGCACCATAGCAGCTAGGTAGAGGGCAAGTGCCATGCCATCTGCTGGTTTGGTGCCAGACTCTTTCCCACTCATCAGCAGTGACAGGAGGCCATCTGGAAGCTGGACAATGCGCTGAGCATCTCACTGTGCAAGCCACGAAGGCTGTTCTGTCTGTCGCCCCATAAAGGTCTTCATCTGACTTCTCTACAGCATAATTTGTCTACAGAGTCTCTCTCCCTAAAGAGTCAGCATATGAAACATTCTTTATCTTTGTTCTGCCTGTATGCTATTCAAGCGCTGATTCTACCTCAATATTAATCTCCAAGATTTGTTCAGTATCGGCATCTGAGCTGCTGGCTGTAAATATCAGATCAAATGATGTAATCTCTTCACTAGTGTGTTACTGTTGCTGTATTCCAGTTTAGCTCCTGTAGCTGGGGAAATGACAGTTCTTCCATCCCTGAAGACATAAGATGTGATGGAGTAAAGGTGGGTTGAGGAAATAGAGGGGGTTTGGGGGGCACGGAGTACTAAAAATTGTCCATGTTCATAGTCAGCAGTTTGCTCAGCATGTCGGATAACTGGATGAAAGTCAGCAGTGTGTTGATAAAGAGCATAAACCAGAAATATACCATTCTTCTTGATGTTCTGTAGTGTCTATTACAATAGTCTTTTGCAGTAGACCCCCAAGATATTCAGGTCTGTTTTCTCCACTGGCTCAGGAATTGGAGGGGTCCTCATCCCATACTGGCTCTGTTCTGCTCCCTTTCGTTACATGTCAACTCTCTCTGCAAAATAAGACCGTAGTTGTGCAATGCGCGTGCGACAGTTGGAGGTATTGTAATCAGTGGGATGTGTGTGTGTATGTCATTGGCAGTGTTGGTGTAAGTATGGCAGTGAGGTGGAGATTCCCGGTGTTAAGTGTGAGTCCTGAGATCCAGTGGGTGCTTCTGGTTGATGGAAACATGTGCATGGCTGTTGGTTTAGTGGGGAGGAGATGTCATGTAAAGATGCATTCACTAATGTTGAGGCGCAGCTGCCTTGGTTCCAAACCCTACTGCTCATCTACTCCTTTCCTTTCTAAGGGTAGGCCTTGGTCCCCTCCTGGTTCCCTGCAGGACCACGATGCCCTGCTCACCAGCGCAACTAACATTTCCCAGTACTTCATCTGTCAGGTGGGATCCTTCAATGTAGCCCGGTATTTAGTATTATTTTTCAGGAATTTCCACAGCGTCAATGGTGTCTTTTTTTTCCCATCTTCTTTTTGTGATACAACCTGCCTGTAAGAAAACACAAATCACTGTTGGAGTCCCCTGCTCTTTACAAGTTATTCTGGCAACATTGAGAAGCGGGGATCCCAAGTTGTTCTGCAGAAATAATGCAGATGAAATATATAGGCCAATCTGAGCCTTACCCACACTAATCCAATAAGTCATAGTCATAGGGTCATACAGGTCTACAACATGCAAACAGGCCCAACTTGCCCATGCCGCCTAGTTTTCACAATTTAAACTATTCTCCCATTTGCCTGTGTTTTGTCCATACCCCTCTGTACCTATCCCATCCATGTACATGTCTAAATGTTTCTTAAATGAAGAAATTGTACTTGCTTCCACCACGACTTCTGGCAGCCTGTTTGTCTCACCACCGTCTGTGCAGAAAAAAATTGCCCCTGGGCTCTTTTGTATCTCTCCCCTCTCACATTAGACCTATGCTCTCGAGCTTTAGACTCCCCTACCATGTGAAAAATCTGTCCACTATCTACGTTATCCATGGCTCTTGTGATTTATATACCTGTAATGAGGTCAGTCTCCTCTTCTGTCTCCTATAATCCAGCGAAGAGTCCCTATCCAACCTCTCCTTATAACTCAAACCTTCCAGTCCAGGTAGCATCCTAGTAAATCTTTTCTGCACTTTTTCTAGTTTAATAATATCCTTTTTATAGTAGGGCGACCAGAATTGCACACAGTACTCCAAATGTGGCCTCACCAACGTATTGTACAGCTGCAACAAAACATCCCTTCTCCTATACTGAACGCTCTGACCAATGAATGCTAGTATGCCAAAAGCCTTCTTCACCACTCTGTCTACCTGGGACTCCATTTTCAAGGAGCTATGAACCTGTACTCCTAGATATCTTTGTTCTATAATACTCCCCAGGGCCCTACCATTGACTATGTAAGTCCTGCCCTGGTTTGTCGTAACAAAGTGCAATACCTTGTATTTATCTAAATTAAACTCCATCTGCCATTCCTCAGCCCACTGGCCCAGCTGATCACGATCTCGCTGCATTCCCAAATAACCTCCTTCACTGTCCACTATACCACTGATCTTGGTATCGTCCACAAACTTACTAAGCATTCCTAAGCAGCCAAATCATTTATATAAATGGTGAATAACAGTAGACCCAGTACCTGTCATAGCTGGTCATAGGCCTCCAGTCTGAAAAACAACCCTCCACCACCAGCCTCTAATTTCTACCATCTAGCCAATTTTGTATCCAATTGGCTAGCTCTCCCTGGATCCTGTGAGATTTAACCTTACTTGACAATCTACCATGAGGTACCATGTCAAAGGCCCTGCTAAAATCCATGTAGTCACCCTTTCAAAATCTCTATCAAATTTGTGAGACACGACTTCCCACGCACAGAGCCATGCTGACTATCCCAAATGAGTCCTTGTCTCTCCAAATGCCTGTACAGTCCTTGCCTCTCCAAATGTTTGTAAGAGGTACAGCATGCTGCAAGCCATGACCCTTGTGCCTAAACATTGGGACAATTAACTTTCACAGCACTTATGGTTTACCAAGCTTCAGCAGCAGGTTTGTGTGAAACTGCTTCTGTGACTGATATTGCAAACCATGTCTCGACATCAATGCACTTGAATTTCAACCACATTTAATAATTGTGATGCAACAATGGCTTTTCAGCATTTAATGAACTGCTTTCCTGAATTAAGGTTTAAAAGCCATGGGTTATGAACATATTTTGAATGGCTTCAGATTCAAATGAAAACCAAATGTATATATAACACCGTTTTTGGATTAACTTTTGCACATGAATCAGGTTTTTTTCACTATTTTGTGGGTAGAGGGAGAAAGGGAAGCAACAATTAAAGGGAATTTTAACCTTGAGTAAGCAAGTTTGATTTGATTCCTCAATGTAATGAGAAAATGCTTGAATAAAAAGGCAAAATGCTGGGAACATCTGGTGCCTCCACTGGCATCTGAAAATAAAAAGACAGATTTGAGCGAAAACTTTGTATTATAAGTGGTATTTATCCAAACTGTTGATCCGAGTTTTCTTCCTTACATTTTAGTAAGTCTGTCTATAACCAGAATTTTCTCTTTTTCATTTCCTACATTTTTATCTTTCTATTTTAACTGGTGGACATTTTAGGGCAGGTTTTTATATTTATACCAAGCAGTTTTCAAAATAAAAACAAGTAAAACAAAATACAAAATGCTATAAACGTTCGGCATTTCCTGCAGCATCTTCGGAGAAAAGGTTAACATTGGAATTGAGAACAAGTAAGATTCTCATCAGAATACAAATGTGCTCATACACAGGGTTGGAATTGGCAATGTCAGTGGCAGCATCACACCTAATTTTCACCTTTACTGAACATCAGAGAAGCCCCACACCTTCTGGATCTTACACATCACTCGGCACAACTCCAAAACCAGAGCCCACACACCAAAATGTGTTAACCCATAAGTTGGAGTAGGCTAATCAATACTACTCAGGAGAGCTCACTGCTTCAAACAATATGTGAAAGTACCACAAATTGAGGTAAGTTGTCCACTAATTACAAAGAAATCACGCATCGAATTTCATACCAGCATTTTAAAAATACTTCCCACTGCCACAGTAGTTCACATGCATACTATTGCAGCAGTGTGATGATGACAATGGCTGCTCACCATATTTCCAAGCCATTACTTGTGAATCAAGCATTTACATGTTATTCCAATGATGACTTGTAATGAAGACAAGCTATAAACAAGTGGGATAAAGATTCATGGGAAAGGAAGGGTCAGCCAGGATACAAAAATAAGGCAAAAATTGCCTTAAGATTATTGACTCATGCAATTCACATAATCCATAGGCTCTGTCACAAATACATTTGTGAGCAACAAGGACTTGACATGATATGTCCATTTTTTTATTTATTATTCCTGTGAACTAACAAAGACAAATACAAACAACAGAAGAATTGACTAAATCTTCATTCTGTTTTCTGTTTTACTCTTGCACAGCTGTGCCAATAACAGTTGAGGCATCTCTTTTGTGTAAAATAATTTTAAAATAGTAGCACTGTGGGGGAAGGGATTTGAAATTTTGTCAGACAAGTGACTAAGCAGATATATGTACTTCCTTGAACCTCAAGCAGGGCAGAAGATCATTAAGTATCATTGAGGTTTGGGAATTATTAAACTATGTGTAGTCCTTGAAGTAATCTATTACAAAATTCTGTTTAATGGCTTCCATGTTGGTTGTAATCAAAGTTCATGCTTCAGCACATAGTTTTATAATACAATTTCCAAATTAGTTATCCTTATGGGTTTTTTATGTGCTTACAATTGATGATGCAGTTAGAGTCATTATGTAAAGGATGGTTTTATGTTGCTGTGTTTAAATTCTGAGAAATTTGTCAAAAAATTCATTGATATTGATGACCCTCAAACTTGATTTGAATGCAATTAATTTGATAAACTTGATTCATTTTTGATAACCTGACTTAATCCTCAGGTCCTAATGCAACTTACATTAGATTAAACAAAGGGGCTTATTGAATTGTGGGATAATTTGAAAATGCATTAAGCCAAGTATGTCCAACCTGCACCTGCATCATTGAAGCTTTGCAGTAAGTCCCTCAAAACTGAGACAACTTGGACCACTTTCTACTTGTGTTGTGTTGGTTCGTGATTTGGCATTTTTGTTCTTAGCACGGTTATCCTATTGGAAAGGACATCAACATTAGAACCACATTAAAGTGCACATTTGAGGGCACTTTAAACTTCCAAATTAAAAATATGTTCAAATTAATGGGGATACTAATTTAGACTTAATGTTTCTAAGACTCCATTGTGCATACTTGTGAGACCCATAGTTAAAGGGCAAAATACGGTACGTAACATCTCTCTGTCATATTGAATAATGCATTCACCTTTTACGGAATGTATCAGTCGCCATACGATCAGAAAGATCTCATTTTTTTTTATTTACAGATCTTATTAAATTTGAATGAGAGCATAAAAATGGGATCTCAATAAGTGATTACAATGCCACGTGTAAGACACTGTAAATCATTACCATACTGTTACCCCTTTGAGGCCTGAATCTATTGTCAGTCTCAATGTACTGGAATGTCCAAATGGCCAACCAGCTGTTTTCTATGTATTAGAATCTCATAGACCTTAAGTGGATTCTGTCTCCGGCAGTACTGTCCTAAGAAGGGTGAACTTCCAATTTGTATCCCCAAATCTGATGATGAGGTATCTGGTCTGCTGCTGCAAGCCAACATCTCAATAACCCACGGACCATTTTTTTTTTGAAAAAAAAGTCATTTATTCACAGGATCTGGATGTTTCTGATAAGACTGATAGTTATTGCATGGCATTAATTGCCCTTGAGAAAGTGAGAGTGAGCTCCGTTTTTGAATCACTGTAATTCCATGTAATGAAGATCCTCTGATAATGCTATTAGGGAACAATTCCCAAGATTTTGATACAGCAACAATGAAGGAAAGTGATATATTTCCAAGTAAAAATAGCATGATTCTGAGGAGAATTTGGGGATGTCGATAATCCCAATTTTTTCTTCTGCTCCATTCACTAAACCTGAAACGTTAGCTTTGCTTTCTGTCCACAGATGCTGCCAGACCTGCTGAGTTGTGGCAGCAATTTCAGATGTTGTTTCAGATCTCCAGCATCTGCAGTTCTTTGTCTTGTTCTTCTTGTGCTTGTCCAGGACTGTAGAGATTGTAGATTTGGGAAGTTTAGTCTTCCTGGTGGTGCCGCTAATGGGCAAGGGGCACCATCCTATGATAGCAACCTCTGCCTGCCGTTTTAAGCACTTTTTTTGGAAAGAAAATGTGAATCCTACTCTTACTTGACTACCCATGCTAACTATTTTATAGTATGGGCAACTTACTATTGGGGTCAATTGAACTTTTACCAAGCCCAAATCACACTTGATTATTTACTTACATATGGTGAGCAGACAGCCGATTTTGGCACCTGCCCATCTTCTATAATGGGTTTAGTTCAGGAGTGGGTGGGAAGGTGGCGGACTATCTGTCTGACCAATAATTACGTGTGTGTCTCCCAGTATCTAGCCCACAGTCTTGTGCTGTAGCTTCACCAGGTTAACACCTCACCTTTAAGTACACCCGCTGCTGTTACTGCCATGTTCCCCTACATTCCTCATTGCTTTAGTTGCCAGGCTCAATATTTATGTGAGTGAGAGATATGCTGGACCATAAGGCGGTTGGATACAATCATTTTGCAGCTGATGCCCATGGTGTTTCAAGGCTGATCTGCAAAATTTGATCTGCATCTCTACACATTTAGCATGATGGTATTTCCAAACAACACGATAGAGGACATCCTGAATAAAAAAAGGGACTGTGGAGTATTGGCTTTTGCCAATACGGCTAAAACCAGATACGTCGGTAACAAGTCAATTGTTGAGGATGAGGTGAAGTAGATTTATCTCTTTTTGTTTTGGTTCTCTCACCACCTTTCAATGGTTTTGTCTGTCAGCTAGCTCCTTCAGAACTCAGTCACATCAATCAGTCAGCCTCTATTTGTAATAGATATTGAAATCACTTACTTAAAGTAGCTTCCAAATCCTCGCCACCCTTAATTTTTGTTCAAAGGGATGTTCAACACGAAGGAGTACAGACTTATCAGCTATGGGAGGACAGTTGGTGGTAAATACTTGTCAAATTTTTCACTGGAACTGGATTACGGAAGATATGTTTGTCCAGTGCAACCTTGACCACCAAGCCAATATGGTTTTGTTCTTTCTTATTGAGCTGCTAATTGACTAATGAACAGGGTTTGACAAACAGTGCCAGAGTTTCAGAATCATTGTAAAGAATTGTTGCAAAGCTAGCAGCTAAAGCCTCTGCGGCAGAATGTTTAGTTTTCCCCATTCCTGATAACATCCAATCAGCTTTCTACTCTACCACAATGCCAAAAGGGCTCTCAAAGTCACAAGTTATATCCCATATGACTGTGAAAATCACGAACTTTCCCTCCGGGCCCTCTCCTCTTCCTGTCTGCAGCCTCTGACCTGGTGTCCTTATCTTCCTTCATCTCTACTGGCATCTAGCTGGTTGGGACTGCTCTTGCTGGTTTCCATTTTATTTGAATTGTCACCAGAAAAACACTTGTAATGGCACCTCTTGCTGCTCATGTATTGATCTATCTTTGACCCCCACAGATTTCTCACTATGTGCTGCCCTACCAGGATATCATCAATAGGCAGGTTCAATTTTCACACATACCCAGTTGTAGCTCAATGTCCGTCTCCAGTCCACCATTGTTTCTAAACTATCAAACTTCTTATCTATCCTGAATGAGCAGAAACTTCCTCCAGCTAATTGTTGGGAAGATTAAAAGCCAATATTTTTAAGTCTCTCCTCAAATCTCAGTTTCACAGTGAACAACTCAATCCCTTTCCCTACCAGCAGTCTGAGATTAAACTGATCTATTTTCACCCTTGGTGTCACATTTGGCCCAGGACAACTCTCAACATCATGTTTGTGCTATCATTAAAACCACCTCCATTATGTTGTCCACCAATGCCCTGCCTCAGCTCTTCTGCTGCTGAAACTATAATTCAGCCCTATGGTACTCTAGACCTGACTTTTCCAATGCATTTTTGATTTGTATCTCTCATTCTACCCTCCATAAACTTAACATCATCTAAAACTTGCGACCTGTCATTAACTCACACCAAGTCCTGTTCACCTATCACCCCTGTGCTGTCTGACCTACGTAAATTCCCAATCATTCCATGTCTTGATATTATAATTCTACTCCTTTTCAAGTCCCTCCATGGTTTCACATCTCCCTGTCTGCTTGATCTCCTCCAAACTTGAAGCCCTCTGAAATTTCTGAATTCTTTTGCTTCTGGCATTTTGAGTAGTTACCATATGAGGTGGCCCTGCTTTCAGTTACCTAGGTCCCAAGCTCCGGAATACCTCTCTACTTCTCTACATCACTATCCCTCTTTGAGATTCGTTGAAATATAATTTTTTTGCAAAGCATTTGGTCATCTGACCTGACATTTTTTTTTAACAAAGCTCTGTGTCATGCTTTGTTTTATAATGTTCTTGTGAAGTGCCTTGGAACATTTGCACTGTGAATTTACACAAAGCATTATGAAAACTGTTGTTCTCTTGCATCCGAAAAGCTAATTTCAAATTTTCAGTGATTTTTGTAATTCAAAGATTGTTCTATGTACCTAGTATACTGCCCCAGTTTACCCCTTGCCTCAGTTCTATAACAATCAACGTATTGATGTGTTTATTAGTCTAGTTTTTTTGTCATAATAAAGATTTAGTTAAGTCTCAAGATTAAAATTAGTGTCTGTCAGATTTTAGTAAGTTATGGAGCTACAGTTCAGAATCCAACCACTGATGCAGACAAACCAGCATGGATCATTGCCAGTCTTCAGCACCAATAAATGTGTAGCACTGGCTCCAAAATAAGAATCTGCCAAATGAAAAATATGTTTCGTCTCAAGGTGGTGAACCGACATTGTGGTGATCCCATGTTAAATGGGGAAAAGCGAAGGAGAAAGGATGGAGTAGCAGTTTACTTGTCTACAAGCTGTTTATAAAATCACATACAAATGGATTACCAATCAGGAACTTCCAGAAAACAAGTATTATTTTTCTTCAAGCTTGGAACAGTGAAGCCTTCTGTTGCATTCTACATCCTTCATATTCCTGTAACAAAACTCCAGCGTTTTGATTAATCCTGGTTGTCATGATTTATCCTAGTCCTTCATTCATGTTAGGTCTCCTCCAATGCAAGTTTTTCTTATTCTTTCCTTGTCAAAATCAGATAATTCTAGTTCTGAAGCCTGCTTTTTGAACATTAACATGATCTAAGTTGCAATATATTTGAAAACATAGTTGCACAGTTTCAAAGACAAGGTTGTTTTACAGATTCAGGAATTGGAAACTGAGAATATTGAACTGAAAAAGAAAGTTCAAGAGATGGAAATTAATTTCAGGGTCACTCAAGGTCCATCATCACCAGTAAGTACAAAAACATTTGGTTCGCTATCCCTTTTCTTTTTACTCTGCCATTTAAGTGTTTAATATTTGTTAGTATAAATTGTATTAAAGAATAAAGACATTCATTCTAATAGAGAACACTATATTGCAGTGAACTAAATAAATCTCAAATCTTTTGAAACTTTTTGGAATATTTTCTAGTACTCTAGTCAAAGAAGGTTTTTCTTATGATACAGCTCTCTTCTGTAGTTGTTGATGACATATAAATCATTAAGATAATGAATAGATTTATATTTAATGTTTTACTGTTGAAGTGTTTTGATTGCTTAATAAGAAAAGTTTTTTTTTTAAATTTTAATAATCGTATTTAACCTGCCGCTTATGCTTGCAGGTCTGTCGTAGAATATTTGTCCTGATCTGACAGTTAATTTGAATGCTTCTGCACTATCTAGTCTCATATACAAAACTTCTTATAAAGAGATGAATCAAATCTATAACCAAATGAAAGTGTCTGCTTAAATGGAATGGTTTGATCAACTCAACATCTTAAATGATGCAATGATATTTCATTAAAAAGCTTTTGAATTTGAATCCTGCTTTTGATCATGTTTTATCATGTAAAAGAAATAAAATGTTTGCTATGAACTGATTTATAATTTATACATAGATAATGTTGCCATGTTTTGAAAATAGTTTGTAAAGACTTCAATGAAGCAGATGGCTTTTCAGTTTTCTTTGTTGTTATTCTCTCAACCTGACAGCATAGCATTAAGTGCTGTGGCCACATCATCTTGGATGCTGGCAGTTGTTCATTCAGACAGTTGATGATATTTAATTTTTTTAATGACTATTTTCAAGCAATGCAGCAAGGTTCCAGTTGTTTCCATTTGTGATTATATGCAAATTGGACCAGCATGATTCAGGATTTTGTATTGAATTTTAACCTTTCAACTAAAGAAAGCACTAAAGGAACCTTTATATGTTGGTGAGCCTCTGCAGATTAGAACTAAGTGAGCATAGTATTTATTAGACAACTTTGTTTCCTTTTTTGCAATGAGCTGTGTATTTGAGCCCTGAAGTGCCCCTGCCTGTTGCTCATTTTACAGGTTTATTATTTCCGGTCAATATGAACCTCCTTTTTCCCTCCAATCTACTTGTATCTTTCCGTTCGGAGAAAAAAAATGTTTGTATTAGTTTTTCATCCTCCTGTAGTTGATGGTACTGGAAGTCCCACTAAAAGAGTTTACACAGAGTTCTAAAAAATATATTGTGAGGGAATAAGCAAAATTCAACATAAGACTTCTGTGAGAAGCAAAAACACAGTTGGACTTATGTAGTGTCTTTCACAATTTCAGGAGGTGGCAAAGTGATTTCCAGCCAATTGAATCATTTTGAAGTGTAAGCACTGTTGCTAGGTAGGTAACTCAGCAGTTGATTTACACTCAGCCAGGTCTCAAAAGTAGCAACAAGATCATTGAACAGACCATCTATTTGATTGAAATTGTTTGAGGAATAAATGGTGGCCCTAATGCTGAACATGTTTTCAAAAAAATGCCGTAGAACCTTCTATGTCCACCTTGGAAGGCAGATGAGGGCTCGGTTTAACGTCCCAAAGATGACATATCTAATGGTGCACTGAGGTGTCAACCTCAACTAAAATGTTGCAAATCTCGACACGCATTGAGCACTCAACCTCTGAGTTAGAGTTGAGAATGCAGCTCTGAGGCAGAACTAACACTTGAAAGAGGATAGTGAAAACATATTCAATATTTCCCAAGCTGAGTCAGTGGACTTTGCTCAAATGGTTTATTTAACACTGACTTTTCTCTGGGCTGAATTTTACCAGAAATCGACTAAATGTCAATTAAGTGTCAATTAAATAAGTGTCACTTTCTTGGAGGATTTCTATTCGTAAAATCTAGTGAGTTTTCTCAATGTATTCTCCGCAGTTCACCTCATTAACTGAGCAACGTGCCTGAATGGTACGCTGCCTGTGCTGTCTTTTTGCTAGAGGCAGTGTACATGCTATTACTGGGACTTCCTGGGATTTCTGGCGTGAGTGTCATTTTTAAATCCGGCCATGCACTAGGTCAAGTGCTGTGAGCCAGAATCTGCCCTTCACAGTGCATGTAGTGGGAGGGGAAACGAGAACAAACACTTCTGAGGGCTCAAAGGTGGCATGGCAGCCGCTTCTTTGCAACCACAAATGCACGTTCATAAACATAGTCAATTAAGAACCAAGCTACATAGATTACCTGTCCTTAGCATCATCCCAACTTAGAATCATGTCTAAGGGAGTTCTACTCTTTCCCCCAGGCCCAGCATAGTCTAACATCTTCTCACTGTTCATTGTGGGCTGTCAGATAATGGAAAACCTTCAAATAATAGAAAGTGTTCGTTTTTATTCGGCAATAGAGATCGAAAAACAACTGAAAGCTGTATTTGCCTCTGTGAACAGACTGAGGCCACTTGACTTTCGAGCATCAACAAAGTTACAGATAATGAACAATTACTGCAATTAGCTCATGTCTGTTGAAACCAGGTCTCAATTATTGTCTGGCTTGTTGTGTATAACTCTGCAGCACTACATTATACTGAAAATGATGTTCCGGCTACTCAATATCCTTATTGTTATCTTTCTCAGAAGACTGCTCCCACTTTTCGAGTGTCCCTCACATCCCCTGCTTGCCTGCATCAGTTGGGCAGATTGTAACAAGCAAGGATAATGGAGCACACATTGTCTAAAATTACTGTAAGGACCCAGTAAACCGATTGGAGTGATGGAATCTCATCTTTAGCACCCCTATCATCTGCTCCATGATAGCCCAGAAAGATCAGCATTGTATTTACATTCCTCCTCAGTCAGTACGTTGTGAAATCAGCCATTGGTTATAGTTGCAGTGGGTATTGTTTGTCTTTCACTAGCTGTTCTTGAAAAGGGAAGGTCGCCATTGTCTTACCAAAGGGGTTACCGTAGGTTGTTTTCCCATTAGGGAGAGAGAGATGACTGGTGGTGATTTAACCTGAAGGTGACCATGCCTCAGGCATGGGGGAGAGTTTAAGGTGGAGAGTCCTTCGTGATAACCATAGCCAGTTCAGAAATTGAAACTATGCTGTTGCTATCACTCTGCATTGCAAACCACCCATCCAGCCAAATGAGCAAACCAACCGTCCCCATCCATCCTTAATATCAATAATCAGAGAACCCAGACTGTTTAGAAGTCTGTGATATTATATGAATGTAAATAGTGTTGTTAATAAACTTCAAAACATCCATGTCAACTAGAACCTGATCTCCTTGGCATATATGAGCTAACATATGAGTGTGCATTAGGATCATATCCTATTCATCACTTTCTGTGGTGAATTTGGCCCACAGTTTCATGGGTAAATAATTTGAATTTGCTGCCAGCAAGACGGGTCCAAATTGGAAGCTATGCAGTCAATAGATAGTTAAAAGTTCATTTGTTCAGGTATTGTTGTTGGTGGAAATTTTAACATAATTTTTTGCTTACTTTATTGATGTCTAATAGTAAGTACTAAAAGATATCAATACAAATAAAGATTAATCATAGTTGGGAGATGTTGATTTTAAGAAATTGTTGGCCGTACTCTTCCTCTGAATGACATTATGAAGTTAATTTTGGAACCAATGCAGAAAGCAATTGTCCCATCTTAAAATTTATCAAGGGTTACTCCAGATTTTTTTGTTGTGATAGCATTTGGCGATCCAGGAATTCATTATAAATAATATATTTTTGCACATATGCGATGCAAAAATAAAAGCTCTGATCAATGTGTTTGAAAGATTAGTATTCACACAGATGTTATACTAAGATGTTGCATTAAGTGTGTTCCTGTTATGATTCCTGCATTTTAATCCACCAGCACCATTTTGAAATGATCTAATATTTGCAGTGGTAATCTCGATGGATTTCATTCAGCAAATTCTACGTCAATGTTGACTTCAATGATGACCTAGCTGGAATAATTTTCTGGTTAACATTGGGAAGCAAGGAGTGGCGCAAGTAATTGTTGAACTTATTACTGCAATAAATTTCTGTGACTTGAGAGGGCACTTAACCAGTGCTGATGCACCATTCTGACTGCACAATTCCTTGCAAATTCTTGATCAATGTTTGGTTCAGTCAATTAGAGAATCAATTCAGACAATTATTCACAGTATGGGAACATTTTATGCACAAAAATTATATATGAATAGATGATTATTTTGTTCACAGGGAATTATTGATTGTTGTGCTCGAGTTAAAATCTGAGTATCATTTAATCTAGAAAATAATTGGTGCAAAATAGTTGGTTGCAGTTGCTTTAGCTCTACAATTTCAGTGTCTTGATCCTGTCATCTTGTCCCTTTAACCCTTACAAGCTTTCATTCCTATAACACTAAAACTCCGGATGCCAATCAACCCATAAACAGAAGCAGTTGCACATGCACACTGAGCTTGCACTGTGCCCAGTGTATGTGGGATTTCTCGCACTGCATTGACTCAGCCATTGCCATGCATGATTTCCTCAAACCACTGACCAGCATATGACAGTTACTGAGATTAGGTGTCTTTTCCTTACTTGAGAAATATGTACAGCATAGTCTGTTGTTCTGTCTTTATTGATTCACGGGATGAGGGTGTCACTGGCTAGGCAGCATTTATTGCCCATCCCTAATTGCCCAGAGGGCAGTTCAGAGTCAACCACATTGCTGTGGGTCTGGACTCACATGTAGGCCAGACTAGGTAAGGATGGCAGTTTCCTTCCCAAAGGATATTAGTGAACCAGATGGGTTTTTCCTGACAAGCAACAATGGATTCATAGTCATTATTAGATTTTTAATTCCAGGTATTTATTGAATTCAATTTCCACCATCTGCCAATGGCGGGATTCGAACCCGGGTCCCCAGGACATTAAATGGGTCTCTGGATTAACAGTCCAGCGACAGTACCAGTAGGCCATCGCCTCCCCTTAAGTCAGTCAGTATGCCAGTATATTATTAAGAGACATGCCCT